AGTTCATGTGCTCATCTTCATTTTGAACAAATTTCTGAGTATTCAGTGCCTCATGAGCTGATCCTGAGTACTCATCGGGAATCAGTTATTGCTCATCCAAGATGGAAATGAGCCTTCTCAATAAATGTCAAGTAAAATATGAGAACCACAGGATGATCACCTGAACACAAACAAAATTGTGAATTGAATCAATCTGAAAGAAAATGAATCTTTTTTGGAGAATTCCAAAAAGTCTACAACGCTCACATGTATGTGAGTATCTATTTTGGCCCCTGTGTATGAGGCACTACGATACTGACTCACTAACGCTATCATAGCGCACACACAATTATTTTAAATATGAACATAGAATATGATTAAAAAGCATTTAGATAAGTACCTGGCAAACATATTCAAGAACTATTAAAGAGCTGAGTAAGGGAGTAAAGGAAGAAAAAAAGTAGCCAAAATTTGTAACAATGAGAGCCGAGAACCAGAAGAAGAACCAAATAAGAGAGGATAATTGAGAGAAGTTAAAGATAGAAAAGAATGAAACTGAGAATAGAAAGGAGGTAAGGGAATTGAATGAGTGACAATATTAAAATAGAAAAAAATTAAATTGAAAATCAAAGGGAGCCTTCATTTTTATCCATCTTCTCAACCAAAGTAAGAGCTCCAGGAAATTCGCCAGGAACCTTGATGCCTGATCTGATCCATTCCCAAGATGAAGAACATTGCTCTATAGTGCGGCTTGCCATAGCACATTGATCAGACCCACACACATCAGCTGCACTTGAAAAAACATGTTCACAGGAACAAGTGGTTCCAGTGCACGCCAAAAAGTCACAAGCCATGAGGGCAAGGACAGGAAATGCCCCGGCATTGTCCTAAAACAAAAGAGGTGGTTAGGGAATTTGGTATCAATGATCAGATCAACAATAACACATACCTTCCACCACGACAAAAGTGTGCCACCATTAAGTGGAAATTTTCCAGACAAGTAACCCTCCATCTCTTGCTCGGTGTCAATGTGAGGACCAGATGCCATTGTAGCAAACACGTTATACTTGTCATTGGCAACAATCAGATCTTGTTGATCAGTATTGGTAAGAAGGGGCTTGACTGGAATAGTAGCTTGGTACTGATTTGAGTAAGTATCCATAAATCACTCCATAACACTCTGAACATGAATGACTTGAAATGAATGATGAAGTTCAAAAAACTTCATTCAAAGTCAAGGGTTGAGGATAGTGGCAACAATAATCACGTCACATTGAAGCTCCTTGTGTTTTTATAATTGCAGGTGCTTGATCATGTTGGCGATCATGGTCTGGAGGCTGGCGTATTGTGTATTCAAACTCAGCTTTTCAAGTGAGGTTCTGACATAATGGTAGTCAAGTAACAGGATGGCCGCTGTTGAATGATTGCCTTCCACTCTTGATGTGGCTAGTACAAACACCTGGGGCATTCAAGAGACATCAGATGTGATTGTTATTTTTGTGTGTCATGTTTGAAAAACAGATAGATACCACTTACTTCCATGACCTCAATCAAAGCTGATGCACATAACCATTTGCTTTTCGAGATTGAAATCTCTGCAAAATATCTGTCTTGATTGTTGGACAACATCTGGTTTATAACCTTGCAAGGAAGATTGGTTGTTAGATATGATGAAATACTCATTAGGTCAGAAGCAGTAGAACTCACCTCGGCTCCTTTTACCATGATCAATCAGCTTTGGTGGAGACCATTCCATTTGCTGGACTCACCAAGAATGGGACATTGTAATTTCCTACCCAGATCCTTGGCACGATTTCAGAATTCTAGACGTTGAGATGGTCACCAACCAATGAGCCGGCTGACTCAATCAATCTACAAACTGTGACATCAGCCTCAAAACACAGGAAGTTGAGATCATGACAATGAGCTTACCTTCTTGATTGCTTGAACAACCAGATTGGCCCGGCTTCTACTTGATCCAGGCAGCACACTTGGAATGTCAGAGGGTTGTTGATTAATCTCACCTTCACTATCTGAATCACAATCACAAATTTCAGCTTTGCTAGCATTGTCAGATTCGTCGGTATCATGTTGAACTTCCATTGGAAAAATTGTCACCGTCATTCAAGTTGATTGACGGAGTAGGGACATTGAAGAGAGGCTGAGTAGTTGGTTTGGTATGGCCGGCATCAAGACCAATTGAAGCCAGACCGTGCTTCACCAGTAAGGCTAACTTGTGGGCATAGAATTGGATTTGCATGCAACTGGCTGACTATTCAACACTAGGTTTCACTTCTTGAAACATCCTCTGTAATTTGTAAGCAAGGGTGTGATTGTTTGATCCAGAATTGGTGGTTTGGGCTATCATGTAGATAAAAGAAATGACATCAGGTTGAATTTTAAAAAGAAGAATAGAAAAAATTGAATAAATAAATGAAAAAAACTTGTCTTATTGTGTAGACCATGCTTGATGGGGATTCGAGCCACTGGTCGGGCCAATAGAACACCGGCATGGTTCCAAGCCGCCAGCTTTAGACTAAGATGAAGAGTTTGAAACTCCCGCTGATTGTTGATGAATGTTACATTCATTCCAATAAATGCATACCTGCTCCAACAAGTGGTCCAGCCATCATGGATAAGGCAAAATTTACTCGGGTTGGCCTACATAGACAAAGAGTGAGAAATGAAAATATCAAGAGTCAGGTGAAAAACAGATAAGGATATTGAAATAGAAACATAATAATGGGAAGCATATGCAAAGACGTTACCTTGATTGTTTCCAAAACAGTTTGTTTTATGGTTGGTGACAGCAAGAACCACGTAATCGGGTACTTTTCCAAATATTGTTCCACAAGTCGCAAAAATCATTTACAAATTAAATCAAGATAGATCTGAGGTTGTCTTGTTGAGGGCTATCCAAAATTATCCTCAGCGGAACACATTTCAAAAGTCTTGTTTTTTTTAACTTTTATAAGACTGCTGAATTTGGGTTTTTGGTTGTTGTAATTACAAAATACCCGGTCCATGATTTCATGCTTCTTGCTGTCACCACCCATAATCCAGAGTAAAGGCGCTTTGCAGCATTCACTGCCCTTACCACTGATCTAAGGGTGGCTGAAACATTTGCCAATCTGAAAGCTGCTTGCAAGGCCAAGTCTTGAAAGCGAGCCCACGGTAAAGCATGTCAAATGACCCATAATGCACACATCTGATTAAGGATATCAACAGTGAACTTGTCCTTAGAAACAAAATGATCAAGAGTGCCTGAATTGTTTGCCTGCGCTGATCTCTGAAGCTCCTCCCACAATGGTGAAAGGTCCATACACGCAGCTATGGCTTGTGATTGCCTGGGGCAAGCGGGTCGTCCTTTGCTTCCATTGCGATGGCCGCACAGGTTGTAGTAGCTCATCATACCCTTGAGGAATTGGCCGCAGCACCACCAGCACCTGTAAAGTTGTGGATTGCCAGAGGTCTGACAGAACAGTTTCAGTATTGAATGTTGAACTAAAGATAAATCAAAATCAAAATTAAACTAACCTGGCCAATGGGATAGATTGGAGGGTGAAAGTAGTTGAGTAGTTCTTTAACCCAAGCCAATTGTGAAGCCCTAACACCAGTCCTGGGTCTGGTTGGAATGATCTCGTCTCCCAAGTCTTGATCAAGATCTATGCAGTCAGGAACTGCATTGTTCTAGATGAAAATTATAATATTGTAAATGACAATCAAAAGAAATGAACAATGAGTAGAATGTCTTACTTTTTTTTCTTCTTCACTGCCTTTTTTTCAGGCTGACAATTGGTTTGTTTTCAGGTTGATGGAGATTGAGGTTCCATCAGGTCATCCTCATCTTCAGGGACCACAAGAAAGAGACCATTGATTGTTCCAAACAGAGAGTTGGAATTGGAGGTACAGGGAATCAGATATGTCACCTGGAGAGATCGTTGTGAGTCAGGTGAGGCAATGACAAACCCTGGCTGAGGTCAAACTGGCGTCCTTGGTCGGAGCAATCTCCCTGAAGGCAACTGGGTTGTGGCACTTGATGGCAGAGCCAACTGCATTCAAGAGTTTGTTCGAATCATCCAATCAGGTTTGCTCAGAGAGGTTGATGAGATCATGATGTGACAGAAACAGTGGTTATGGAAGTAATTTGATATGAATTGGGATGGCTTGGTTTATAAAATTAGAATGAAATTGGTTGTGGTTGAGATGAATAAGCTGAAAGTGGATGGAGCGGTTGGAAGATAATACGGAAGCAGATTGAAATTTGAGACAAAGTGGGCAAATAACAAAACTGGAATTGGAGGCAAGAGAGCAAAGGTTAGTAAACAATGTGAATGTCCTTTTATATATGTTGAATGTGTACTTACAGTTACAAGTGATGCTCAGACCCAAACTGGTCATTTTTGCTCTTGATAAATTTCTGCCATTTGGTGGACAATTGAGAGAGGTGAAATTGAGATAGAAGTGGGGGTGAAGGTAGTCAAATGAGGTGGGATTGAGATCCATAGAAGTGGAGATGAGGGTAGTTGAATGAGGTGGGATTGAGATCCATAGAAGTGGGGGTGAGGGTAGTCAAATGAGGTGATTGATCATTTGATCAGGTATAACTTGGTTGGTGTACTTGGTTTGGGGCGCAGGGCATGGTCACATACAGGCTGGGGCATGGTGGACATGGCTATATACAGGTCATAGCGCTGGCTATATGTACCACTACACATGTGGACACGCTACAAACCCACCTGAGCGCTGCAAATGTACCACTACAGGTATTTTTCTTTTTCAAATAGGGGTGTGCACCAGCCACTACAAAAACACCCCCTGTTTTTAGTAGAAGTCCCGCAGCGCTTCCACCATATGATGTGGTGCGGTTTGACGTTGCTACAGGCTATGAATTTGCTTTTTCCAATGAACCTGATTCTGAACACATTGATAGACTCTGTTACTTTCCCACCGGCAAGGAGATCACATACGACTTGACTGTGGCCAAGAAGAGAGCCATAAGTTTGGCCACTTTTGTTGGAATGCATGATGCTTCCATCATTGATACTCCTGTTGTGTTATCTGAAAACAAAGTCTTGGAAGGTTAGTCTAGCATCCATTGTGTGTAAACAGCTTGATTGGACACTCTCTGACATCCACTATCTCAAAGACGTCTCAACTTGGATGACTGGAAGCTATGATGTTATGTACAATCTCAGTCCAAAAAATTCTTTTGAAGATGCTGTGGCCGCAGCCGCAGAGGCCACAGATGAACAGCTGCAAACGGATGATCTTCTCTCTACTATACCAGAAGATATTGATCAACAGATATTCAATAACACCGCTATGTCTTTTTCAACCCTTGTTGGTCCCAATGATTCAAGCTTGTCTGCAGCACGCAGTGAAGCTGCACTGGCTGACTTGGCCGGAGATGACCACAATATCAATACAGTAGTATTGAAGGTGGCATGATACTAGAAGAGACTAATTTACTTCAGCTACGAGTTGCCCACGACATTCAGGTTCAAAAGAATCAGGGAAACAAATGGGAAAAGATTGATATCAACGACTTACGCAAGTCACCAGGAGAGGCTTTGAAGCCCAGCGAGTGTAGCAAGCTTGTCGCCGTTGTAATGAGGAATGCAGAAGCTACATCCACCAGTCTTTCACAAATCCATTGATGGAACATGAATGTGAAGCTCAACCTCTTGCATTGTTATCAAAATACCTTGACTCATCTCAACTTACCCTTTCAAGCCACTCACACAGCCAGTGGAATCACCACCAAAAATTCATTTGAAATGGGTGAGTCGGTAGTTTTGATCAAGAACAATGTAAGTACTACATAAATTGAAAGTGTTCAAATGACCAAACTGACATTGTATATGGCTGGTAGAAACTCTATCTTGGAAAAACTCTAGCAGTATACATTTACAAAAATAAAAAGCACGCTTGGGTCAAAAGAGTCAAGACTCAAGAAGAGCTCTCATATGTTTCAGTTCAAATTCTTAAGCACAACCCACATACTCCATTAGCCACAGGAGCTGAGACACTGACTTCAGATGACTGGAATTTCTCTCAAGTAGAAGCATCACATATAGTATATGTTTTCCAATCATTGTGAGGCTCTACCTTTTCTTACATAGGTGAAAGTTCTTATTCTGTTCCTCTTGTTCTACATCGCTTTATCATTCCTATTGATAACCCAAAATTTATGGGAGCATTTGAAGCCCAGTTGAAAACTTTGAAAAGCGCCCTGTTATGAGCCACAGGTTATAAGGCTATCACTATTATGCTTATACATTGTTGTAGTCTCTATATCCTACCATTCGAGTAGAACTATAGTTCCTCACGTAGCAATCTATTCTATCACCTGAAGGGCCTTTTGCTCAGCTCAACTCTTGCATCTCTGCGCCTTGAGTCATATCATATTGCTACGTCTTAAAACTTTCGAGATCCAAGAGAACATCGAGAAGAAAAACAAAGAAGAAAAAGAACAAAAAAGAAAAGAACAAAAAGAAATCAAAGTTGAAAAAAAAGAGGAAGAAAAAGAACGAAAAAAGAAGAAAGTAAAATTAAAGAAAGAAAATCAAACGAAGTAAGAAGAAATTAAGTCGAGGTAATATATCAAGTGAAGAGGAAGAACACCGAGCAATTCAGATCTTCAAAACCTTATCTCAAAACCTTATCGATCTGACTAACACGGCAGCTAAAATAAGATCTCTATCTCAATACAACTTCAACCTTGATTATCCCCGCTACACGCATCCACAACGCCGGACTTTATTTTACCCAAAAGTCCACCTTCAGGCCAAGAAGAAAGCTTTGAAGACGCTGAAGACAGAAACATGTCAGAAATCAATGTACAGGAATTGATGAATAAATTTGAAGAGCTGAACAAGAGATTGAATGAGGAAAGTAGATTAAGACAAGAGGCTGAGAAGAGATGGATGGACTTACAGCAAAGTATTGACCAGAACAACAGCGCTCAGAATCAGTCAGGCCATTCACCACTGCCAATGGAAGCTCTACGAACACCACCGATCACCGTGCCGTCTGCCACAGTACCTCCTGTAAACCCTGTTACCCACATCAGACCGCCAAAAAACGCTACACCTAACAAATTTGATGGCGCCAAGGGACAAAAAGCCAAAGTATTTGTAAATCAAATTAGTTTATACATGCAAATGAATGTGGCATCCTTTGTGAACGAGCAGGCACAGGTTGCATTTGCCCTGTCGTATATGGATGGCAAAGCCAGCTTATGGGGTCAATCAATGACGGATCAACTACTTGACTCGGAGAAAATGAGACTCGTTACTTGGAAGAAATTCATAGATTCATTTAAAGCGACCTTTTTTGATACTGAAAGAATTTCTAAAGCTGAGCGTGAAATTAGAGCATTACGTCAAACGAGAACGGTAGCTGATTACTGGATTAAATTTTCTGAGTTGTCGTTAATTGTTAAATGGCCCGAGTCAGTGTTGGTTTCTCAATTCAAGCAGGGGTTAAAGGGGGAAATAAGGGTCCATATGGTTAGAGATGTTTTTGATGATGTGGAAGAAATGGCAAAATTAGCAATCAAAATCGATAATGAAGTTAACAAGCATAATCAGGAGACATCTCACCAAGAAAGAATCACGACAGCACCACTATCGACCTCAACAACAGCTACCCCTGATGTGATGGACTGTTCTGCTTACTGGTTCAACATATCAAATGATGAGTACCAACGAAGAGGTAATACGGGGCAATGCTATAACTGCGGAAAGGATGACCATTACGTAGCAGATTGTCCACTTCGAAAGAGTAGAGGGGGAAGGGGTAGTTGGAGAGGAAGAGGAGGATTCAAGTACAAATCAAGAGTAGCTGAAATTGATGGAGCGAAGGAAGAAGGAGATGAAAAGAAAGCTGACAGTTTGAAAAATGGCGGCGCTCAGGAGTGTTAGTTGTGCCACACCTGAGCGGAAATGTGTTGGATTCAGACCATAGTGTTATTAATGAACTTGAAATAAAAGATACTCAAATTTTTCACCATGTCACACTATTTGATCCCACATCTGCCACAACTGTCCTTGCCAAAGCCCGAGTGGATAGCGGAGCTACCCACGAGGCAATGAGTCGAATGTTTGCTCTAAAGCATAAACTTCACACGGAACCACTACCCCAAATACAAAAGGTTACCGGGTTTAGTGGTCACGAATCTCATGTCACACACACAGGTGACTTTTTCATCAACGACTCAAACACAACCCCAACGACCTTTATCCTAACTGAATTAAAAGACAAGTACGATATCATCCTTGGCATGCCATGGATCAAGAAGAACTGGAGTCTCATAGATTGGAAGAATGGAACGCTATCATTGGAAGAATCTTACATTGCAGTTGCAGAGCCGACTTTGTTGAGACCGACAAACACCTCGAAGGCCCAAGGAAGGGAACCAGAGAGGAACACTAGGAATCTTAACGAGGGGGTGGAGCCTGAAAACTCATCAACACCCCCACAATGTGAGTGTGATACTCATCATAATCCTAAACTCTTTGAAACAGCCGACAAGCTTTTTCTCCCTTTAGAATTTCATAACAATTTGAATGCGGGAACTAAGGAAACTGAAGACATTGAACTGCACCGGGAAGATGATGGAATCAGACCTGCTACCACTGAAGAGTTGGTATTGTCAACACCGAATCAGACCTTGAAGGACCAACGTGGATTGGAGCCTGAAAGGCACGCTAGGCAAAATGACAAGGGGGTTGATTTAAGCACAAACTCATTACAACCCCCGCAAAGTACATGTATTCAACCTATATCCAAAGTCCCAAAGAGCACTGGCAAGCGATTGTATTTTCAAAATTCAGTTATTAACAATCTAGCTTCAAAAGTACTACAACCTCGAGCAAGAGTCCAACTGAACAAGAAGCCGGCACAAATGGAAATCAATGCAGCCAAGGCGTCTTGGAACTTATCGGCCAAACTTGCAGCAGAGCAAGCACTGAAGAATCCTGAGAAAACAGCTGCAGAGTTGGTACCAGAATGTTATCACGAGTTTTTACACATGTTTGAAAAATCAAATTCAAATGTGCTACCACCGCATCGCCCTTATGATTTTCGAGTATACATACTTCCAGGAGCTACACCTCAAGCTGGGAAAGTTATCCCCTTATCACCAAATGAGAGTGAAGTTCTAAATGAAATGCTAGAGAAAGGGTTATCAAATGGTACCATAAGACGAACCACTTCACCATGGGCGGCCCCCGTACTCTTCACTGGGAAGAAGGATGGCAACTTGAGGCCCTGCTTTGATTACCGGAAATGGAACGCTGTCACGGTTAAAAACAAATATCCTTTACCGTTAACAATGGAACTAATTGACAGCCTACTAAATGCAGATGAATTCACAAGTTTGGACATGCGCAACGGGTACAACAACCTCAGAGTCCGTGAAGGGGACGAAGCAAAACTAGCGTTCATCTGCAAGGAGGGGCAATTTGAGCCCTTAACTATGCCCTTTGGTCCGGCTGGAGCGCCAGGATTTTTTCAGTTTTTTATTCAAGATATACTCAAAAAGCATATAGGGAGGGACGTAGCCGCATATCAGGACAAAATCCTAATCTATACCGGTCCAGGAGTAGATCATAAAGCTGTTGTAAAGGAAGTACTCAAAATCCTGAAAGAACAAAATGTGTGGTTAAAGCCTGAGAAGTGCAAATTTTCACAAAAGGAAGTATTGTATTTAGGTCTTATTATCTCAAAGAATCAGATTAGAATGGACGAGAGCAAGGTCAAGGCAGTGAAGGACTGGCCGTGTCCGAAAAATCTCAACGAGGTCCAAACTTTCTCAGGGTTCTCTAATTTTTATCGACAATTCATCGGCCACTTTTCCAAAATAGCGCGTCCATTACATGAATTGTCACAAAAGAATATACAATTTGAATGGAATGAGGACAGAGAAAGAGCTTTTGAAACCTTAAAAACAGCGTTCACAACGGCTCCAGTACTCAAAATAGCAGATCCTTACCGCCCTTTTGTGCTCGAATGTGACTGTTCTGATTATGCACTGGGAGCCGTGTTGTCTCAAGTATCAGAAGAGGATAACAAACTCCACCTGATTGCCTATTTGTCGAGATCCTTAATTCAGGCAGAAAGGAACTATGAAATATTCGATAAGGAATTACTAGCGGTGGTGGCTTCCTTTAAAGAATGGAGACAGTATCTAGAAGGCAACCCTAATTGATTAAATGTTGTAGTATACACAGACCACAAAAACTTGCAGTTCTTAATGACGACGAAGGAATTAACAAGACGTCAGGCAAGATGGGCAGAGACATTGGGAGAATTCGACTTTGAGATACAATTTAGGCCCGGAAAGCAGTCTACGAAGCCAGACGCATTGTCCAGAAGACCAGATTTCCTCCCTGCGGACGGTGAAAAGTTGTCACTTGGCCAATTACTTAAACCTGGGAATTTAC